TATTTATTTGTTTGTTTTTCTTCACACCTGACCAAGTGAGGCAAACCAGAAGTGTGAATTGTGATCTTTTCTATGCACAGTGAAAATCTTATCCATATACAGCAGGGATCCTCTGCATGGTTTTGTAATTTATTTGGAACATAGCCATGCCCATTTGTTTCCACGTGGCCTGGGAATGCTTTCCTGCTACAGTGATCAAATTGAGTAGTTGAGAGAATAAGAAAACTTAGGGAAAATGCCTCATGTTACTGCTACGAAACAGTTTTTTCTGATTCAGAGGTTAAAAAACAAACAAACAAACAAAAACCCCAAACCTTCAGAATTACTTCCTCCCTCAGAGTCAACACCACCAGAACAAGTTAGGGAGAAACAAAATAAAAAAGGAGAAGTAGAAAAAAGGAGGAGAAAGAAGGAAGAAGAGAAAGGAAGAGGAAGGAAGGAGTGGGGGAGGAATGAGGAACTGCACAGGGGGAGACAAAGGAGGAGAAGAGGAAAGAAAACAACTTCAGAATGAGAGCTGGGCTCCAAAGTTGACTATTTCTCTATGTCAACCATCAAACTGATTTCTGTTGTCTATTGCATACGAGCAGTTAGAGAGGGCATTTTCGGTCATAATTATCTTTTCTTATTCACTTATTATTAAAAAGAAACAAAACAAAACAACGCGGGTGCCTGGATGGTTCAGTCAGTTACACTTCCAACTTCAGCTCAGGTCATACTCACACAGTTCGTGGGTTCTAGCCCCGTGTCAGGCTTTGTGCTGACAGCTCAGAGCCTGGAGCCTGCTTTGGATTCTGCATCTCCCCCTCTCTCTGCCCCTCCCCCATTTTCTTTCTTTCTCAAAAGTAAACTTTAAAAAAAAATTCATCTTTCCAAACCTCAGCTATTTTATTTTTCTCTTGAAATTAATTTTTTTTAATGTTTTATTTATTTTTGAGACAGGGAGAGACAGAGCATGAACAGGGGAGGGTCAGAGAGAGGGAGACACAGAATCTGAAACAGGCTGCAGGCTCCGAGCTGTCAGCACAGAGCCCGACGCGGGGCTCGAACTCACGAACTGTGAGATCATGACCTGAGCCGAAGTCAGACGCCCAACCGACTGAGCCACCCAGGAGCCCCCCTCTTGAAATTAATTTTTTTTTTAATTTTTTTTTTCAACGTTTATTTATTTTTGGGACAGAGAGAGACAGAGCATGAACAGGGGAGGGGCAGAGAGAGAGGGAGACACAGAATCGGAAACAGGCTCCAGGTTCTGAGCCATCAGCCCAGAGCCTGACGCGGGGCTCGAACTCACGGACCGCGAGATAGATCGTGACCTGGCTGAAGTCGGACGCTTAATCGACTGCGCCACCCAGGCGCCCCTTGAAATTAATTTTTAAATGAGGACTCTCGTACCTCATTTTGGCTTGGCCGTTATACAATATGACCTTGCTGTGTTTAACACACATTACTATGCTGCTGATTTGCTCAGTTTACCCAGGATGGTGGGCAGAGCGGACAGCCCACTGAGCGTGCTGCCTAGCTTTCACCCCCCTTCAGAAACTGGAGAAGAGAAACAATTTCAAATACTCAAGAATTAGCATTTGAGGTCTTTTTGTTGTTCTTTTGTGTTGTGTTCATCTAGAAGAGACTTTGAAGAGCTTTTTTTAAATTTTTTAAATTGACATTGAAAAATTTTTTTTTATTTTAAATAAAGAGAGTAGGGGAGAGGGGCAGAGGAAGAGAGAGAGAATCTTAAGCAGGCTCCTTGATCGTGCAGAATCCCACATAGGGCTCAATCCCATGATTCTGGGATCATGACCGGAGCCAAAGTCAAGAGTTGGACGCTCAACCTACTGAGCCACCAGCCTCCCCTTAAAGAGCAATTTTAATTCACTGTTTCCTGTTATCCATGTTGTAGGCTTTTGAATAATCTAAATTCTCAGGGATGAAGGGACAGAAGAAGGCATTTAGCTGCAACAGTATCTAAAGAGAAGATCATGGGAAAGCCAGGTCAAGTTGGTACAAATTTGCCACAATTCAACCTCAATAAAGTTGTAGCTCTCACCACAACTCAGATAGGACGAGATTGAAACTCAGAGAGGCTAAGTGACTTGAACAGGTTTGTAATTAGTTCATGGTGTGGCTAATTCATCGTGCCCAATGAATCTTTCTCTTTGGTGTGCCCACATATGGATAAGGCATGGTGGATTCATTTCATAATTTAAAAAATCCTCCCTACTAACCTTAATAAATATTAGCTATAGCTCTTCCCTTCCAGTGGGTTATTAATTTAACAAAACATTCAAACTAAATGTAAGCATCAGAGTACGGGTATAAGAGTACCACAGTAAAATAAAGCAATTTCACATCCTTTGAAATATATGTCTTTCTCTAGATTCATTTCATATCGCATACATGACAATAAAACTGTCTTTATTGTAGATAATAAGACGCTTCTGTGGAGTGTGGGCAAGTGGCTGATTTGATGAATGCTCTGAGGCTTCTCAGAAAATTCCAATGACATAGCCAGGTTTCTCTGGTGTATTTTACATCTCTGCGCTCTTATTTTTGAATTCCTGCGTTTTATAACTCAATTTGTGTAGCTTCTCTGGGGATAAAGACAGAAGAGTTCGGATTCTCTGGGGTTTAATCTATGATGCAAAAACCAATACTAAATATATGTCAAAATAATGACATTCCAATAATAAAGCATATCACTCTCAAAAGATATTCAAATATAATCTCGATGCTTGCCACGGTGAGTTTTTCTTTCGGTGACTAAATATAAATAACTTTTAAGACTCTAGCGATACATTCAAGTCTTAGCATGACCATGTTGCTGTTCATGTCACTAATGCAGGCTTTGGATAATTTTAAAGGGCTTTTCTGGAAGCTCTCCTTTTCAACTGCAGTGAGGAAGAGGGTTTGCTGAGTGCCTGCTGAGGGGGCTTGTCAGTACAGCCCCTGCTGCCTGTGGACTCTCATTGTGAGCCTGGGCCTGGAAACTAGAAACGGGTTGGAATTCTCAGGCCAGCTGCAAACCCACTAGGGCAGTAGCCTCAAGGGGTAGGGAGGTGGTAGCAAAAACCATCTCAGTGTTTGGTCTGTGGTGAACCTCTATCCTCTGCCACCTGTTGCTAATTTTGAAGGCACCTCAAGTTGGACCTGGCTTTGTGGTCAGCAAGGCTGCTCCTCCAAGAGACAGTCGCCTACAGCCATGTGCTGGTCACATCTGGTCTTCAAGATCCCAATGTGGTGTGGGCCATACAAAGCATTCTGCCTACACCTCTAGTGGCTCAATGCACATTCTACTATGTTTATAATGAGAGTAGCTTATCATCAACAAGGGCTGTTCTCATTAACCATGAATACTAACTACTAAATATATGAATCATAAATAATCAGTCTTCCAAGGGGAAAAATATGGCCGTCCCCATTTCGTAATTACTAAAAAAAGATACTAGGACTTACAGGTCTTCATTAGTCTTCATCTTACCATAAAGGTGAGGATACTAGTTTATGTAGAATGCTAATTGACGGAATGTAAGTGGAGAACATTGTTTCTGGAATAGCTTTAAGTTTTAATGTTTTATTTAGTCTCAACATGAAAAAAATTGGAGAAATTAAATGTTGAACTAAAATACTTGTTAAATTTTATTTCAAATTTATAGTTGTAAATCCATGGGTTGGGCCCCCCCCCCCCCCACACACACACATCACTTATTAGGGCTGATAACAAGACACAGCAGTTAGAAAAGATTTCCTCAAGAGTGCTTGGGTGGCTCGGTCAGTTAAGTGTCTGACTCTTGATTTCTGCTTAGATCATGATCTCATTTTTCCTGAGATCAAGCTCCACATGGGGCTCGAGCTGACAGCATGGAGCCTGCTTGGGATTCTCTCTCTTCCTATCAAAATAAATAAACTTAAAAAAAGAAAAGATTTCCTTAATATAGGATTCATTTATCTAAAGCTTCTCCCTCAGTATCACACATACTCTCTATTTTCTCACATAGAACCTCAGTAGTTTATTGTCATCCATAAGGTTTCTCTCCCTGTAGTAACCAATATAAAAGGTCAAAGAATACCCAAAAAATATGTAGACAAAATTGTGTACTTTATTAAGCCCTTAAAATCTTTTGTCTGGCCATATCTTAAAATTAAGTCATAAGGTTTGTTATGAATAGATTAGGTCAGATTTTCCTGTTAAGAAATGTGTTATCAGTGCTTTCATACAAGCATCAATAAATAATTAACCTTGATCTAGTGATGCTTTTTTGTCCAGAGGAAAAACAAAAGTAACTTCAACTATTTCAATCTCATTTAAGACTAACAACAACTCAGAGCTGCCACAGCTTTAAACAACTGTCACTAACGCTGCCACGATTCACTCTTAGCTTTCAATGTCTTATTTACCTTCACGGGCCAAATGTCCAGAAGAAATACTGCAATGAGGGAGATGTTGTAGAAGTCTGTGCTGTCTGCTTCGGTAGCCACATGAGTTTATTAACACTTGAAATGTGGCTACTGCAACCGAAGAACTAAATTTTAAATTTGACCTTATTTTAGCTAGTTTATGTTTAAACTTAAATAAGCACGAGAGGCTAGTCACAACCATATTATAACTGGTGACATAAGTAACATCAATAACATCAAGTGACAATCTGCAGTTTGGCAGTAATGAATTAGAGTAAAATTCATACAAAGCAAACAAAAGAGTTAAGCACAGAAGTTCAGGGTTAGAATAAGGGCAATCAGGTGTAACCATTATGATCTCTGAAGGTATCACATATTAGGGAACATTTCAGTAAGTAGTGGTTTACCAGCAATTTCCAAGGCTAAGCGATAAGAATTTCATGACACATTCTGCTAAAGGTTCCCTCAGACCCTCCTGAAGCCAAGACTATGCTGTATGTTAACTAAGTTGAGAATAAAAAATAATAAATAAGATTCTCTCAGACCCAAGAAATCCACCTTAGTGTCCCCAGACTCAACCTCACAAATGCAGACAATTTTCTTACCTGCCATCACTCCATAGGTCGATGGCTGGTTTCCATAATGACAGGAAGGGACAGAATAATGAAGTCCTGTTGCTGTGTTTCCCAACGATGTCACCAGGAAATATGCACACAAACATTTAGGAGTTTGGATCAAAGACAAAATAGACGGGACTGGTAAGAAAATGTATGAGGATTCAAGACACAGTCATTTCATTGCAAAAAGACACATTTATGGGATTCTTAAAGTTATATGGCAATAATTTGTTTTCACTTGGGGGAAATTCCTGCTGAGGAGGCTAAAAGCAGAAATCAAATTTTGTCTTAGGTAACCAGATCATAAATTATCAATGTGGATGATAACAATCTTTAATTATGTTGTGCTCTATGAGGGGTGACTGACCGGTTTGGACATTGGCCAATTGGGAGTTGCAGAATTTTTGTAGGTTCCATCTCATATACACATTACAATAAACTGGAGGAATAATCTCGTAAAATTCTTGTATAATATGGTTGTATATAGTGGTCTTTCTCTAGAAGAATGGATACAGAAACCAACTCTTGAACAGTCATTATCTCTATTCTCCTAACAATTTCTTCCATCAAAGAGAAAATGGCCAAGCAACTGGTCTCTATTTGGATACAATCATAAAAACCCCACTAAATGCAGATGTTGATGAAAAATCCATGACAGTGGATGATGTCTTTATGTTGATGTTGAAATCAAGAAGTTTTCTGGATGCCCACAATCAATGCAAAAATTCTAATAATAAAGCTGGTCAAAAAAAATTGTTGAGTGACTTGAGATCTATAAAGTTTGAAAGCAACATATAAATATTACCTCATTCATAGTTTTACTTGTCTTGTGGAATCAATGTGTATTATGAAAATAAATTTGAATTGCTAAACTTTAATCAAGCTTTAAGCATGAATCACCAAGTTGACTAAAAGTATGGGTATTGATAATAAAACCACTTCTTATGTATTTCCTCATTTTTCCTTCATATCCTGAACATAGTGATAGGTTTGCATAAATATGATTATAAATTCTTGAATAAATATATCATTAAGTATAGAATAAGAATCCTTTGAAAATTCTGAGATACAATCTAGTGATTAGAGATATGAGGTCACTTCAGAAAGCAACATTTTATCTTACTATTGATAAATCTTCAAATTTTCATTTTAAAATTGACATGTAGAAAGAACTGAAGTAATTTTACATTATAATATTTTATATTATAATGATCAAATATAAAAATCTCACTATGCAATCCAAAATTAAACAAACATGAAACCCATGTTATATCCAATGCTCTTTTCATTATAGGCATTATTTCTACTTCCTTACCTAGTGTATTATAATTTGATCTGATGGAAAAATTGTAAAATCAAATGCTATAATCATGTATTTAAATATTATTTAAATATATACTTAGAATAGATATATCTATTATTTAAAATATATAATTAACTGTGATAAATGCTTACATTTAATTATAGCACATATTTTTGGTTAAAATATTTTATTATATTTTCCAAAAAATATGTTTGGGAGACTTCCATTATTGCCTTTTTATTTAAATTATGAGAATCTTTGGTAGATGAAAAAAAAAACCCCTCTACATTAATAATTTTACCACAATCCAGATACATACTCTCTAGATTTAAAAAAAATTCAGCTGCAGATTAATCCCAAACTTACTTATGAAAGAAATTTACTTAATTCAAAACTTTGTCCGCTTATAAATCTACTTTAAAAATTTGTTACTGCATAAAGAAAGGGTGCATTAGCAACACATACCTATTTGTATTTGAGACAATATATTCAAATTTTCAAGTTTAATTTTTACATAAGAAAGTTCTGTAAGAAAATATTAAAATTTCATTAGAGATTGAAGTCTCTTCAGAACTCAGTTTTGAGAGATATTAACTCAGTTTTATGGGTTCTAAATGTTACATGTGTCTTCTAGTTTTGATTTTTGAATTTTGAATTATGCTAAAAGTTTGTTAAAATCATTTAATTATTTTATTCTTTGAAATCCGTAGTTTTTGGTATTGGGAATCATTCAGTTGTGTTTACTGTGAGGTATATGGCTGTTTTTGGACATGGTAAAACCAAATACATCTTTAAGATAAAGATGTATTTAAACACTATTTAGGCTATTGCTTTAATTTGCTCTTGATCCATAAATGCTTACATAAAAATGCTTTTTGGATTAAAAACACCCAGACTCACTGTTACGTAGAAAATCCTCTTTATAATAAAACCAACAATTGAAATTACAACGCTTACTAATAGTTCTTTAACAGTTTCTTAGGTACTTTGGCTTTTTAAATGTACTTAATATTTAACTTAAATTAAAGGAGAAAATAAAAGAAGCGAGGAGATCCTAAGCTAACAAGATCCAAAGGATCCATCCTGAAATCTTTAGGCCCAGCCGCACGGAGACCCGGATGGGAGTCAGTACCTGTAGACATCACATTGGTGGCGTGGTTGGAGACCGGGAGGCACTCGGCAGCGCTGTGATGCATTATCAGAGGCAGAGTTGCAGAAGACTCGGAATTCAGAGGTATAAAGGTATCAGCCGAAGTAAAAGGTTGGCAACTCATTCCCACAAGAGAGTAGAAAAAGGAGGAGAACTGCTGCTCCCCAAATCAGAGTTTGATTATATTACTGTTTCAAAGGGCCGTTTCAAATCTCACTACCTGCATATATACATCAGGAAGGCTCTGAAGCAACCAGGAGGGCGCGTGCTGGTATTTATACTGCAGGGAAATCCCTTTCTACATGTTAATCGTCTTTTTCCCAGGGGTATTGCTTTATCAATCTGAACCATCTTCCTCCTCACCCACACATAATCCGTGCCCAAGAGGGAACCTGGTTCTGGGGTATAGATGGACGGAAAGGGAGAAATCTGAAACTTTGACAACTTCAGTAATTCAGACATTTTAGAAAGGAATCAAGAACTTCAAAAATAAGTGTCCCTCAAAGAAATAATCCTAAAGTGAATTGAAAAATACTAGGTGTCTTTTTGCTACTAATACAGTAACAAATGTTTATATGTGAGAGGTTTTTTTTTTTTTTTGATGACTTCTCACTATATCTTGAAAATAACATAAAAAATACATACTACAAAATTTTAAGAAACTATAAATATTAAAAGTTTAAATCAAAAGGTCTAGAGAAAACTAATGAACAAATATATTGCCAACTACTGATTCAGACTCAACAATGCAATTTTGAAAAACTATGAAAACCATGCTGGGGATACTGTAGCAAACATAAGTAACCTGAGAGCCATAGATATTACTGACATAAGCGATGGCCATACTTCATAAGAATTTTTTTGAAATTTTGTATTATGGAATGTTTCAAGGTAACTTCGAGTTGGTTGTTTTGTGCTAAACTTAACATTGACAAGATAATTTTTCAAAAACCTTGCAACTTGGACACTTTGGTAATAACCAACTGATATTTCATAGGAAAATATAAGGTTACTCAAATCATTAGATACTGCCTGAAAAATATTTATTGTGTGACCTATTTTTTCATGCTGAATTCTGCATCTTTGAAGCTCTCTTAGTTTTCTCCAAGGAGAGAAAGTCAGAAGTAATCAAAAGTATTTATTACACTCTTGCAGAGTTTAGTTTTTAATTTTTCAAACCACATAAACAAAAAAAAATGGTTTTCAATGTGTTTATGAAGAGAATTTACTAGAAAAATTAAAATTATAGAGAAATTTAGATAAAAATAAGTTCCTTGGACAAAGAATATTTTAAAAAATAAGCTAAACGAAAGAGTCATTGGAATATGCTGGTAAGTATATTAACCCAGTGGTAGATAGTGAGGAGCACTGGAAAACCTCCCCGGACAACAAGAAAAAGCTTTCTCAGCAGTTTGTCATGCTATCTAAAATTCTACAGTTGCAATCTTAGACAGCATTTCTTCAATGAAGTTTAAAAATTTTTAACTGCGGTGTGAAATGCAAACCAGAATGCCCCCGTTAAAATTGTATAAAACCAAGGGCACCTGGGTGGCTCAGTGGATTAACTGTCCAACGTCAGCTTAGGTCATGATCTCAGAGTCCGTGAGTTTGAGCCCTGTGTCGGGATCTGTGCTGACAGCTCAAAGCCTGGAGCCTGCTTCATATTCTGGGTCTCCCTCTGTCTCTCTGCCCCTTCCTGGCTTGTGCTCTCTCTCAAAAATAAAACAAAACCAAAAAATAGATGTTTGGTTTGTATAAAACCAAAAACTGGATGTTTTGGTTTGTATAAAACCAAAAAATAGATGTTTCCAACTGTAAATTTATCAGTTTTGTAAGCGGTTTTAATATTGCATTATATTGAGTTGTATAGATCTATTACAATTTGACCATTTCTTTATTGTTGGGTGTTTATAATCACTTTCTGCTTTTTACTTTTATAAATAACAATGCAATAAATGTTTTTATTCTAAACTTTTTTTACACAAAGCATTTTCACAATATAATCTGTATTTTACAGTATTATCTAAATATCCTCCCATAGGACAGGTTTTCAGAAGTGGGATTATTGGGTTTATCTTATTTTTAAAGGGCTTATTTGAAGGGGCACATGCACCACAATGTTTATAGCAGCACTATCAATAATAGCCAAATTATGGAAAGAGCTAAAATGTCCATAGACTGATGAATGGATAAAGAATGTGTGGCATGCACATACACACACACACACACACATATATATATTATATATTGCATATATATATATATTATATGCAACATAATGGAATATTGCTTGGTGATCAAAAAGAATGAAATCTTGCCTTTTGCAACTACGTGGTTGGAACTAGAATATATTAAGTGAAATAAGTCAGTCAGAGACAAATGTCATAGGATATCACTCCTATGTGGAATTTAAGAAACAAAACAGATGACATATGGGAAGGGAAGGAAAAATAAGATAAAAACAGAGAGGGAGGAAAACCGTAAGAGACTGTAGAGAACTGTAGAGAACAAACAGGGTTGCTGGAGGGGTATTGAGTGGTGGGATAGCTAAATGAGTGATGGGCATTAAGGAGGGCATTTGTTGGGATGAGCACTGGGTGTTATATGTAAGTGATGAATCACTAAATTCTACTCCACAAACCATTATTACACTATATATTAACTTGGATTTAAATAAAAAAGAAATACATTAAAAAAATAAAAGCTTAGAAAACAAAAGATTTTTAAAGTTCTTAAAAAAACATTCCCAAATTGCTTTCAAAAAACCACAAAACTTAAGAGTAGTTTTAGGTTCACAGCATAATTGAGCAGAAAGTATGAGAGTTCCCATGTACTCCCTGCCCTCAAATGTGCACAGTCCTCTCCACTATCAAAACCACCCACCAGAATGATATATTTGTTACAATTGAATCCACATTGACACAGCATTTTCACCCTAAGCCAATTATTTCAGAGTTCACTGTTGTTAAATATTCTATGGGTTTTGACAAATGTATAATGACTTGTGTCTACCATTATAGTATCAAGAAAATACAGAATAGTTTCACTGCCCAACACATCCTCTGTTCTCTATTCATTTCTCCCGTCTAACCTCTGGTACCACTTACCCTTTTTATTGTCTACGACGTTTTGCCTTTTCCAGAATGTCATAGTTTGAATTTCATAGAATGTAGCCTTTTCAGATTGACATCTTTCGCTTAGTAATATGCATTTAAGATTCCTCCTGGTCTTTCATGGCTTGATAGCTCATTTCTTTTTAGCACTGAAAAATATTCCATTGTCTGGATGCACCAGTTGATTTATCCATTCACTTACTGAAGAATACTTTGTTGCTTCCAAGTCTTATGCATTATCGATAAGGATGCTAAAAACATTTGTCTGCAGATTTTCGTGTAGACATAAGTTTCCAACCCCTTTGGATAAATACGAAGGAACATGACTGTTGGATTGTATGGTTAATGTATGTTCAGTTTTGTAAGAAACTACCAAAATGCCATCCAAAGTGGTTGTACCATTTTGTATTCCCACTAGGAATGTATGAAAGAGAGAGTTTCTGTTGCTCCATATCCTTGCCAACATTTAGTGTTGTCACTATTTTGGGTCTTAGCCATTCAGGTAGGTGTGCAGTGGTATCTCATTGTGTTAATTTTTTAATTCCATGACAGCATATGTCATTGAGCATCTTTTAATATGCTTATTTACTATCTATATATCTTCTTTAGTGAGGTGCTTATTCAGGTCATTTAATCATTTTTAATTGGGTGTTAGTATCCTTGTTGAGTTTTATGTGCTCTTTTTATATTTTGGATAACGATGCATTATCAGATATGTCTTTTTAAAATATTTTCTTCCAGTCTTTGGCTTACATTCTGAATTAATTTTTCAAGCAATAATAAATTGCTTAATAATAATAATTATTATATTTATTAATAATAAATAATTGCTTGAATTATTGAATAATAAATTGCTATTATTATTTGGTTTCAAATATCAAGAACAAGTTGAACAAAAAATAGTTGTTTGTTATTAGGAGACATGGGGTTTCCTGGAACTCATGGAAATCAGCCCATTGGGAGAGACTGAATAGAAATTAGAAAGCCATCTGCTAAATCTGACTCACCTATCTCCTTTTCCCTGTGTCTCTCACTTTTCTCAATCTCTGCAAAACAGCCTGGCTGATTCTCCATCTATGGCCACTTCACATATCTCCAGATCATATCATGCCTTAAGCTTCTTTTTTTAATGTTTATTTATTTGGAGAGAGAAAAATCACAAGTGGGGAGGGGCAGAGAGAAAGGGAGAGAGAGAATTCCAAGCAGATTCCATGCCGTCATCACAGAGCCCCATACAGGGCTCAAACCCACAAACTGTGAGATCATGACCTAAGCGGAAATCAAGAGTCAGACGCCTAACCGACTGAGCCACCCAGTTGCCCCATGACTTAAGCTTTTAGCCAGGCAAAAAGATTACCTTGCTACTGCTCAGTTTACATTCTGATTGGCCATGGCTATGGATGTGTTCTAGAGGTAAAACACTGTTCCTGGTACCCACACTTATGAATGGATTGGTTTGCACTGGAAGCACTCAGGCATTTGTAGACAATAAGTGATAGATTGGTATCTGGGAAGACATTCATAAAATGCGACAGACGCTGTTCCACCATTTTACAAAAGCACCAGTAGAGTAAAATTGACAATTCTCTTGCATTCTCAATGTCAATAATAAAACTAAATACTTAGGCTTTATTAGCCTGTTAAGACAATGACATCTTATTAATAGAAATTGCATTTTTGATTGCTAATATGCTATCTTTTCATATATGTCATTTGTGTTTAGTTTTGTTAGCAGACAGTATATTTCACCTTTTATAAATTTATTTTTTAACTTTTAATGTGGATTTATTTTGAGAGTGAGAGATAGAGAAAGAGAGAATCCCAAGCAGGCTTCGAACTGTCAACACAAAGCCTGATGCAGGGCTCGAACCCACAAACTGTAAGGTCATGACCTTACAAAATCAAGAGTTGGATACCTGATTGAGCCACCAAGTGCCCCATTCACCCTCTTATTGAATATCCTTTTGTTTTATTATCAATTTATTTATTTTAAAGTATATTAATATTTTTGGTGTTTTCATTTTATGATTAAAATTTTTCTAATTTCTTGTTTGTCTTTTAAATTTATGTTGGACACTGACATACATAATATTTTAGGTAGGAGCTAAATTAGTTGACCTTTTGTGCATTTCTTAATTTTAAGTTT